GGAAATGAACATCTTTTGTGTTTATCTTTTGCAGTTTGATGATGTCAGTGCCAGTACCTGAAATCTAAATGGCATGAGTTGATGTTAACATTCAAAGAGGAAGCAGGATTAAAGGTGGAGAGAAGGATTTAGCAGGAATTTCCTTTGAGGAACGACTCCACCGTGAGGCTCTCCTTTTTATTTCATCTCTAAATTAAAGTGTTTCATGATACAGGTTGCACTTTTGAGGGTGCGAGGGTGCCAGGGTTTATTTTGGAGGTTTAAAATTGTCTCATTCTTTCAATGATTGGATGCACAGCCTAACAACTTCACAGCCTAACAACATGGAGCCGTTTGTCGCCACAGAATCACACAATTGATCACCAGAGGCAACTTCTAGGCAACAAAAGGTCAATTAGAAAAGTATCTCAAAACTATTAAAACAACAACAACAATAGACTAATGTATAATTCAAATAATATAACTTAACTCACTGGAACAACACTGGAGAACCTGACTACCATATATTTTTGCTCTCCCATCCTCTTTTGCCATCAGTGTTTTAAATGTACTTTTTTCAAAGTCAGTAAAATCATATTTTATAACCACAATTTACTTTACTTAATTTTTTTTCCAACTAGCTCACACACTTAACATAAAGTTAATGTTTGAATTTAAAGGAGATACAGCAGCCATTAAAGGCTCATTCCTTTCCAACAACACAGGAAGTTCCACCGTGGGACTACATCGTACAGGAAAGGCATTAAGTATCAACGTTTGTTTGTTTTATTTTTTTTACATGGGATTCCTAAATAATTCCTTGCTGGGTTTGAGCCAGTGTAGAAACTACATTGACCTCACCACACGGCGTGTTGACTCTGAACACAACATCCACATGTTTGACAGATGTTAAACATATGAGCACATCTCTGACGTATTTAAGGTTGGTTAGATCAGGCAAACAAGCCTTACCAGCAGTTCCACTCCAGTGTTGAGAGTCACAGTCAAAGAAACTTAAATCCTATGAGGTCCTGGAGCGAGAGCTAAGAGTTACAGTTAGAGCGGTAGAGCGTCACCGGGGCGACACGTCCTTGAGGTCTGCCCTGTAGCCTGAGAACAGACGGTGCTGTGAGTCTTCTTTAATTTGTTTTCTGACAAATCTATTCATTGTGTAACGTTTCCAGCGATGACGGTGTTTTTTGGCAGCGACCTCACCGACACAAACACGTGTTGAGACAGAGCAGGGCTTACCTAAGCACCAACAGTATGAAGTTATCAGACGGCTTTCTTAGAATGCAAGCTCAGACTCTACCTCAGTATCTCAGGCCACAAGAAAGCACTCTTAGACATCTGTGTCTGAGGAATGTCCAGGCAATTCTTAATGACACCCAGCCATAGTTTAAGTTTAGTTTTTTCTGAATCTTATTAATATGGTGTATTACTGTGATCAAAAGTTGACGTACTAAAAAAGTATCTTTTTTCTGCATTTTAACCATAAAAAAGGACATATCTATGTATTTCAAAACAAATTAGTGGATTTTTGAAAAATTCCCTAGAAACTTATTAGTATGGTATATTCCTGGGATCAAAAGTTGACATACCAAAAATGTTTTTTTCTTTTTTCTGAATTTGAACCATAAAATGGTTATTCTCATGAGATCATTAGTACACCATGGCAGTAATTATTTCAGTAATAAAGCATGCATTTTAGTTTTTTTTAATAAAGCTAATCTTTTTTTTTCTATAGACCATAGATTAATTTAAATACAGAAATTAATTGTCCAAGTAATAAAAAAAGGTAAAAAAAAAATTATAAAAATAAAAGTGCCCAAAAAACTTAAATTTAGATTACGTCCAGATGATGCTTTGATGATAGCACAGACTATCAGGAGTGAAAAGACAACTTTAAGTTAGCTAGACAACAGTGAAACTAACATTCATTTGCTCAAAGTACTACTGTATGAATAAATATTACTCTGTCACTTGGATGATTTCTTATCATAGGCGACAGTAACCGCCTGTGCTATCATTCAAAACCTCCCTTTATAATTTCCCCAAACTCCAGCACTAATACCACCAAAGTCATGTGTAGAAATGGTGTCCAATATTTCAGAAAAATCTAACTTTAGTCTCAACATACAAAACAGAGCAGGTGCCAAGAAAAGACAATCTCAAGTCAACAGAAAATAATTATTAAAATTAAGAATCATAGGGGGTTGGCTTCATCTGCATCAAAGCTGATTATGGGGGAACCATACCTACGGCCAGTGAGTAAAAACATGATGTTTGGTTTGTTTAGAATAGCCCTGATCTGGTTTCTTTTATTTTACACTTGACTTGACAGTAGTGAACGGTACCATCTGCACCTGAGTGCACAAAAACAAGCGCGCCCAGACCCTCAGATTTCAGGGTGAGCTGAATTTCTTTCTTTCCACATGTTGAGAAAATATGGCCTTGACATCTTACTCAATCAAAGACAGAAATGGACCTCCAGATGTGATCATGACATGATATAATCCACATCCTCAGAAACGGAACGTGCAGATGTGGTACAGAGGTGTGACCCCTGACCTTTATCCTGCTGCAGGTTCATGTCAACACTAATTACGAATACCTTCATTCAGATGTTGGCTTATTGATACTGTAGGGCAGAATGATGGACACAGAAACATACTGTCCACCCACTTATATATGATTATTATGGTTTTATATATTGTTTCTTTTATGTATTTCTTGACATTATCCTGTCACACAGTAGTTGGGAGAACAGCGACTAGGTGCAATTTAATGGTTGATAACAAGGCAGTTGAGTTTTAACTCACTGAAACCAAGGGCCAGACAGGAAGACAGATGATAAGACCAGGAGGAGAACAGGAGCCATAACTACACAGATGCGCAGGACACTGACCAGGACCAGGACCAGGACCAGGACCATCAGAAACCAAGGCCAAAACAACAGAGACCTGACCAAGACTGAGTGAAGGAGAGAAGTTAATGTGTTCAGAGCACCTGGTGAGACCAGTGAGTCTAATGAGCAGGGACTGACAGGACAAAGGTGAGTGTGATGACACTAATTACCCAGGGAGGGAGCAGACAGAAGGGAAGAGTGACAGTCTGACAGATTTCATTTTAATAATTCAACCATTTAAGTTACAAATAAAAATAACCAGTGTAAAACACACACATCTACCTGCTATTATTTTTCTTTCATCTCAGCAATATACAGATTTGTTTTACCCCATATTTGGAAATGTTGATTTATTGCCATTAATCACGAATAATCACGACTCAGTCACAGCTACACTTGAAATTAATATAGTACTACGGTAATTTATTATTCTAAAAATCAGTCAACTCCCCACTGTTTCTCCGAGACAGCCAATCTAAATTCAACCCTGATTACTATATTGTCACTGTTGAATAACAATAATTAACACATGTAAACAGATGTAAACAGACTAGAAATGCTGAAAAAAAATGCCGCCCATTTCTATCATCCCAACATAATATTTCCTACTGTTAATCTTGGGCTTCTTTGAGCTCATTATCCTGCCGGCGCCACCTATCAGCAACACAGACACGGGATTCCACTCACATGCACTATAATCTGTCTCTCCTTGACCCATATGTAAACACATGTACTGTGAGGTGAGGCCAGGACTGTTCAGACTGGGACATGAAAGAAGCCTGGGAGTGCTGGGAGAGCTGCGAGCTGAGGACCAGCAGTGGAGGACACACCATCTGCTATCCTTCACAGACATGACACCACAAGGATCCTCTCTCACTGTCAACGCGTCATCTATGGAATTCAAAGAGCTCTTTAATGAGAAGAGTAAACAGAAAAGCAGAGACAGTTGAGATTCAACATTAACTTTAGTTGGCTACAGTAGAAACAGGTGACAAACAAAACGACACATAAGAGACATGCAAGTTTATTACCTCGCTTATTAAACTTTAAACCCAATAGAGTTTAATATTAACCCTGATTAAAGTCCTTGCACTTTCACCAAACTAATATACGCATGTTTGCACTGTAAAGCAAATTAACTTTATCAGCTGTTTCCCAGTGGATAATTCCCAGGCTGATGTGTCTGCTGAAAACACAGGCCAAAGTGTAACATTTGAGCTTTGCATAAGCATTCACTCCCTCCAAAATAACACTAGGAGGAGGTTGATGCTCTGGACACTTGCACCATGACTTTGTGCCTGGATTTCATTCTCCTTAATCCTCTGCAAGGTAGGAATTTACGAAATCCCCACCTTGCAAAGGATTAAGGGAAACAAGATGAATGGTTAAATAGTGGGATTTGCAGGTCTTGACTCTGTCAGCTACTGCTGGCTCCACACGCTGCATCACAATTGCTCAAAATCTAAAGTTATGTTTTTTAAATATTTGCAGCTGGACAGTAAATATTAATAAAGCATAAGACACAGACATATTAAGTCTTAGGGTTAGCATTATATCCTCCCACAGGTTGTGCCACAGTGTCACTCCCTACAGTTTATTGCGTTTACATTGTGTTAAGTACTCATCCAGCTTACTACACCTTATGTCCATAGTTAAAGTTTCATGGCCATTTCACATGTAGGTCTTCTTCAGTGTATCCTAGCACTGTGCTCAAGACTGGCTTCGAGGGGAAATCATTTGGAAAACGTTTGTCTTTTACATTCACAGAACTATACATACAGTACAAAAAGTTCATGATGCAAAAGACGTCTCAACTCGGAGGAACAGAAAAGGAGAAGTGGAGC